GAGTCAAACTGATCCTATACAATACCGAAATAAGAAACAAGTGCGAAGTAGCGAAAATAAATGACCGGGCATCATACCATGCAAACAAACGGGGTGGGGAGCTGTTCTCGGGACAATAAACGATTCGCATTTTTTAAATATCGGAATACGCTCCGTATAGCGGTACGCGTGGCCTGACGGGGATTTCACTGTAAACGCGCGTGGCAGTCAACGTGTTAAAGAGATTAACGAATGAAACGTAAATGTAGGCAAATTATGTGTAACGTACAAAGACGAATGCACATTTACTTTTGTTACGTCCCGAAACACCGAAATTCTTTGAATATTACACGGGTTGTAAATCCGCTTCGCTGGTTTGCGACGGTGTAAAACCAAGACGTTGACTTTCACAAGAGTTCTCGTGAAGTCTAATTAGGGTGGCAGGAATGATCGAATAGCTCGGTTTTAGTAACAGTCTTTACTAATACTTAAATTACAAACTGGTGATGTAATATTTGTTTCTCGCAGAGAATGTGACGTGAATGATGTTTAAAGTCGTAGTATTCGAATGCGGATGTATGTTCGTGTACGACTTGTCGAATGCGAGTGTGTTTGTCGAATGAATGTTCGCGAATGTCTGTTGTCGATCGAATGTGTGCGAAATGAATCTTTTGAATGAATGTTTTCGACTGCCGTCTCGAATTCGTGTGACGTCGCGCTTCCTCAAAGTTCGCTGAAGGCGTTACCAAAATTCGCCTCCTTATTGGTTATGCCCTGAAGGGGAAGGCAAATTTCTCGGTTTTTCCAAGCGACGTGGAGGAGGAAAACCTCTCCTTCAGGGCGAAGCGGACATCAGCAAAATATCGCGCACGTGGTCACGGTGCGAGTTGACCGCGACGAATTTTCGAGTCTCTCAACGGTAGGGTTTATGACTGTATTGTATGCGAGTCAGCGCGCCCCGGTAAGGCCCGGCGCGGATTGGTCCCAGGTTACCGAGCGCATGTGGCGGACTGCAGACCAAATGTTCGCTTCTTTTATCTCTGATTCCCTTTGTCAACGAAATCAAAATTGCAAGGGGTCGATCTTGAAAATATAATTTGACTGAAAGAAGGAATAAAATAATAAAAAGTAACGGTACTGTCTGACTGTATAACCGTCGTTTCGGTCTACGACGGAACAACTTTTTTGTAAATTCCTTTTTACGAATTTGTAAATTTCCTTTTCAATAACGTGTGAACGAAAAGGTAATGTAACAGAGAATGAACGAGAAGTGATCGTAATGCGGTATTGGTATAAAAATTCGTAGTTCAATAACGGTCAACAATGTTACTGATAATGAATAAGTTTCTTCGAAAAGCCCGAAGAAAAAGTTAGGTACAGAAACTTGCAGAATTATCGCCGGAAGTAAGCCATAGCTTGCGTTAAATTAAGAAAATAATAATCGGCAATAAATTGATTAGAACTCACCCTTTCGGAAATTCACCTGCAGTTTGCAAACCTGTGTCACTAGGTCACTGAACCGATCCTGGTCATCGACGGCCGAAACGGTTTATGGCAGGGTATCGCCCAGTTCGCAGGTGATCGCAGGTATACCTCACCAGTCGAAGTTAAGGGTTGTAACGTCAAGTGCGTCCTGGTTATTCCACCGAATACGTACTCACTTCACTGCACGACCACTAACACTGATCACCCGACACAATCACTTAATGTATTTTTAACTCAACGTGTTGTTACTACGTTAGGAAAATTCGTGGCCCCGGAAAGGGCCGATCGTTTTCAATTTTTCAGATGTTTTATGTAACCAAACACTTGCACAGCAACACCCGCATATCCTTTATTCTGTACGTACCACCATAACATTGCGTAATACTCCCGTGAACTGAACATCTCTGTCGCCCGATTGCTAACCGACTGACAGAATTTTTCCGAAAGGGCTTCCTCTACCTCCAAGTAGTTTCCCATCGTTACATTGTGAGTTCACTCCCACCACGACAAGATGTAGGTAAAACGAAACCAACGGTTCTAGGATAACACATGCTTTGTAGAAGTGCAAGGAAGGAACCGTCGCGCAGTTTCTCCAAGGCGCCGTAGCCTGTTAATTTATTGCCTGGGTACCTACTGCTTCGAGATAAAAAAACAGACATCACGTGCATCGGCTTGAAAATGTCCGAAATGAAGAGGACCACCAACGTATCCCTTGCTTCGAGTTGGAATGTACAATGTACATTGTCTATCTTGAGGAGCAGGGAAAAAAATTTACTGACACGTGTAAGTTGACGCTGCTTGGCCCTCACCGACCACCCTTGTAGAGGCCGGAGCGGAATTTTCGGTTCGTTCTTCTCTTTAAATAACAAACGGCAGATGATAAAAAGTATGATTGTATTTGTTACGTCTTTTTTATTTGCTATTATACGCAGATTCCTGCGATGCATACTGACCTACTTGTTTGGAGCTTCGTAGTACAAGCGTAGCGCGTAGCCACCGCTAGCGCCGGAACTCGGCTGGCAAACTCGCGCTCTGATTGGTCGTGGTTTTTCGTTAATATCTCGGTAACGAAGCCTCAGATTACATTGTTGCTAAGGAAAAAGTTGTTCCAATTCACCCCCCGAGTGCCCCATTTCCGGGTCGGAGGACATTTTTGGAACACCCTGTATATTGTGTCCTGTTCTACTATTGAAATGTGTCTTGGTCCCAATTTACATAGAAAACCAGCAACCAGAAATTTTAGTTACATTAATAATGTTAAAATTAAATTAATTAAATAAAATAAAAATTTCTAATTGATGACCAATTATATACAAAGTGGACGTCTACATGATACTCACCAATATCAGTGTATCATTTGATTTCCAATGAATGTAATTGCAATGTTGGTAAAAGACTGGAAGGATACTTTTTAAAAGAAAAACAAGGCTTACAATTGAAAGTCTGAACAATATAGTCTAAACAGCTGTAAAACAGTAAAACTGTATGAAATAAAAGCTCTTCAAAGGTGTTAAAATTATTTTACTTTTATGTTCATGTATCAAAATACTTAAAACAATTATTTTTCTGATCTGCATAGATTTTCACCAACAAATATAAAATTAGAAAATGTAACTACAAATTGGCTGTACGAATTGGCAGCAAATTTATGGATTGGTTATGGTTGGTTGCCAGAATCCACACGTTCTACCATACTTAAAGGAGGATATTATACTGTTACTCCAAAAAAGGGATTCAGAATTATAGCTTTAAATGCCAATGTTTGCTATTGTTATAATTGGTATGTATCCTTATACTGACCTAAGTTATGTGATATCTTAAAATTAGATAAGACAGTATCGTTATTTGAAACTCATCTTCCCAAATATACATTGGATTTTCTACTTGATTAAATATAAAATTTTATTATCCTAAATTGGTTTTCCTGGTTGTCTCTATTATGAATTACATAAAATCATTATATAAAAATCTATTACATCTTCATATACTTTAGTTTAACATATTTTCTATATGTAGGTGGCTGTGGTATACTCCAAGAGATCCAGACAATCAATTACAATGGCTTACAGATATTCTTCTTAACGCAGAGATAAATGAAGAATTCGTACATATTTTGTCTCATGTTCCTGCTAATACCAACACTTGCTTACAAACGTGGAGAAGAGAATACTTAAGAATAATTAATAGGTTTTCTCACTTAATTAAAGCTCAATTTAATGGACATACTCATAATGATGAAATAACAATATTTTACAACTCAGATCTTATACCTGAAAATATTGCTTGGAATGGTGGCAGTATAACTGCTTTTTCAAAACTGAATCCAAATTACAAAGTTTATAATGTAAATGGTAGTAATTATGTAAGTTATTTTATATTTAAGCTTAGAATTTATAACAAAATAATTGAACTAATAGTACTATTAAGTTATAAATTACTTAAATTTTGAAAAGCAATTCATCAACTTTTACATATATTGAAACAACATTTTTACAGGCAGTAGCTGATTACCAAAATTGGATGTATAATCTTGACTCTGCCAATAAGAACATCAACATAAGACCAACGTGGTATAAATCATATTCTTTTAAAGCAGAATATGAGCTTCCAGACTTATCACCTAAATCTTTAAACAACTGGCTGTTTGCTGCAGCAAACAATGAAACACTTCTAAATAAATATTACACGTAAGATAAAATTGCAGTTGAGATTGTTATAAAATATTATTAAATTATAATTTATGAATACTTTAGTGATAGTTGAGGTTAATTATTAATCATTGTTTATTATAGCAATTTTTACAAACAAGCTGAGCCGTCACTAGAAAGAGACTGTAATTTAAACTGTAAGAAACAGTATCTTTGTCGCATAATCATGAACATAGGAAACATAAATGAACTATGTAGTAAGATTTTAAAGGAATAAACCTTTTCAATAGAGAAATTTCTATGGAACGTGTTAAATGTATAGTCAAATAATAAATAAACTTCTGTTATAATATAATTTATTTATTATACGAATTTTATCTAAATGATATTTACATATTAATTTGCAAGAAGAATAACCTTTACCTAACACTTCTTAAGTCAATCCACTCCAGTTTTGTTGAATATGTGAAAATTTCCTGCGATGGTATCGTATCTAATAAGTTAATCTAAACATAAAGAAAGTTGATAATGTAACTAAAATATACATTTGCTTCTTTACTTGCTAAAATACATTCCTTTACCTGCTTTCTCACATAAATTACAAGTGACTCAATGTGTTCTGGATTGTTACACTCTAGACCAAAAAATCTGCTCCAGAGTGCACTAGCTAGCACTTTATCGTCTGATAAAATTCCTTCGTCATAACCAATCAAAGCAGCATTAAATTGTGATGATAACTCGATTATTTGTTTCTTTTTTATCTTTGGTCTGATTACCTAACAAAAACAATTGCAACTATTATGTACTGCTAAAACTGAAGCATAATCGACTGTAATTGGAACAAGAACCTTCCTTATATTTATCTATATTCATATCAGAAGTATGTATATGTAATTCATTAATTACTTACTGCAAGTTTACTCATTCTACCATCAACATCTTGCCACATGGCTTCTGCCAGATTATTTCTAACCAATTTACCCTCTTCACCTTCACCCATAAAACGTACCATTAACATCCATACATGTAATTCTGTGACCAGGTACCAGGAGAAGAATGTATCTGGCATATTATAATCTAAGAAATCGAACAACAGATTAATGCACTAAAAATAAGGTTTATGAGATTAAATAAATTCGTTGAATAGTATCAATTGACTTAAAACTGAACAAATACTAGTAATATACCTTTGTAAAATGCTGAATAATTGAGTTGGTCAACTACGTTTTCATACCGTAAATAACCCAGAGCCATTAATTTCTAAAATACATATAAATCCAATCAATTTAAATTTAAATGCATAAGACATACCATAGCTAGTGGTACAAACATCTACACTAATAAAATTTACATAGACCATTTGTCAGTTATTTTCAATTATGTATGTGTATGTGTTTTTCCATCATATTGTAGGGGACATGAATATGGCATTATTAAGATACAAATATGACACTTTTATTCACGCAATCTTGAATTTACAGCAGTGGAAATAGAAGAAGGAAAAGAAGCGTATTGTCGAAACACGCTACGCTTCTGCTGTTTTAGAGCCATCGTACTCTTTCTACTTCTATTGTTGTAAAGTTAGTATTTGTGAATAAAAGTGTTACATGTTGTACTGATAAAATTTGTCTTAATGTCTCCTACAATATAGTGCAAACCAATTACATGATTCCATTTAACGAAACTCAAGGAGTCATTGTGTTCACTATGAAAAAAATATATTCTCGAAAGTTTGCTTTATACGTTCTCCACTTAAAACTTAAAACAGATAAATTCTGGTTAATAACTTTTTGTTATTATATTGTGACTAATGGTTGAAAAATCGGGGATACCGGTAGAGTGAACACCCTATATGTATGTATGTACAGGGTGATTCGAATAACTGGGCCGGGCTATAACTCTGTTCCAAGTGAAGTTAAACACAAATCATAGAGAAAAATTTACTGTTTAACTATTTGTGGCGGCAGGTGCACGAGCACACCGCACAGTGGGGTATTTAACCCGAAAAGCTGGTCAAAACCCCAAATTTTATCTTTGTTCAAAATGAATGAAAAACTTGTCTGAAACTTTGTCCCTATGTTCCTAAGAATGAATAAAACTGCTATCTTAGTTTTTCGAAAACAGCAGTATTTAGCGACAAATTGAGACATGAAAGTCAACAATTTTTGTGCTGGAAGAAAATGCCAAGAATCCTATATTAAGAAAGTGATTTATTACAAGTGTAGTGTTAAGGAAGTGCAATAACAACATATGTAGGATATAAAGGAAGGTATGTAGAGTAATTAGGCACCTTGTTTCCTTCACTTTTTTGTGTGGTTTTGATAAAAAACCAATTTGAAAACAGTGTTTTTTTTTTCGTAAAATCAAGTATAAAACATTTAATTACTTTTTTGCACCCTAAAGCACCCCTTTACTTTTGATATATTTTTATTCTTGGACATGGCTTTATATATTTCTTGAAAAATTAGGTGCTAAGAAGTGCTAAAACTACAATTCTGTTCAAAAGTATCACCTCACTTGTGCACTAGTGAAAAATTATTGAGATTCAATGTTCCATAACTTTGTTAATATTCGTCAGAATTTGTTTAAATGAAAGGCAAATTAAAGCTTGAACCTTCTACTTTTTGACTCTTTTGTTCAATTTTATTTAACTCGTGCTCAAGAGGTAAAATCTTCCCTTATAAAGAGGGCCTTCAAATTGTACAATTTTGTTCATATTTGAGAACAGATGTTTCTCATAGACAACAGTGTTCGGAATTTTACATGTATTTCAGAAATAATAATTTGCCTTCAAAACAAGTCAAACTGCATCCAAAACGGATGTTTTGTAACGAAGTTATGGCCATTTACAGAAACGCTTGCCTCTTTATGGTTTCATGTCTTTCGTGCATGGCACCATTCAATGGTCTGCGTTTCTGTAAATGACTATAACTTCGTTAAAAAACATCCGTTTTTGATACAGTTCAGCTTATTATGAAGGCGAAGAATCATACGATAGGCGTATATTGTATGGTTGATCTGATGGTGGGGTAATTGAGGTGTATATATTGTTTTATATATTATATACCATAAATCAGAATGTTTATGATCGTAGATACAATCGATCCGCGTACATCCATCGCTGTCAGTTGATTGTGAACCTATTGGAAATTTCGTCTGTCAATTCCTGACGATTGAAGTTTTTAGTATGTTATTAACTTTATTAGGAGAAGGGTTCGTTGATGACCTTCTATCAGATACAGGGTGTTTCGTTTAACTGGAAACGGTGGAATATCTCACGAAGGATTAAAGTTATCAAAACAATGTTCATACAAAAGTTGTTTGGTACAAAGGGGGACATTACGTGGTGTAAATAATTTTTTTATAAATGTAGTAGTGGGGGAGATATCAAATTCAAGTTAATTTTTTTAAACGGAACCCTGTATTTTTTTATTCATATTATGATAGTGTTTGTTGAGACGAATACAACGAACTGCCACATGTCGCCCGTCGCGTTGATTATAAAATACTCGAGTACCCGGGTAACCCGTGAGATATCCGGGTATGCGGATTCTTATGCAAAAGCATATTTCGATATGCTTTTACTATTTTGCATATGTTTTGCATATTGTAGTCAGAAAGCATATGCACATATACTCGTATATATGTATGTTAAATATTGCTTTCATATCTATCTCATCGTATTGCGATAATTCGTACCGTTGTGTTTATATTATCAATGATGACTCGTCGCTACTACTATTACATAGAATTTCTCGAAACACGACGTAAGCAATAATATAATAATAAATAATAATATAAAATAAACAATTAGAGGGGACAAATCATACAAAAAAGAAAGTATATAAGTAACAAAGAAAGAATGCTTCTATTTATATCAGATGCTGCTCCGTATATGATGACAGCTGGAAAAAAGTTAAAATTATTTTATGCAAACATGGTTCATATTACATGTTTAGTACATAGCCTGCATAGAGTACACTCCGCGACAAAACTATAAGACATTTGCGAAATTCGATGAAAATTCTATGTAAGTCTTGAGTTTTGTCTTCCTTCATTCATAGTATTATTGTTTACATTATATAGAAGTATGTTCTACAGTTCTACGAAATATCGAAGGCTACAATTCCAAAAACTTGGGAAATGTATGTAAACATGCTATTCTCTTTGCGACAAAACTATAAGACAGTAGCTTTTCGTCAGTCGATCTTAGGCTCTAATCGCAGTCATAGTGTTAGAAGTAATTGTGTCTTAAAATTAAACATTTGTAATTTTGTTCTTACATAATATAACTACAATGCCGCGTGGGAAAAAGCAGACAGACAGTGAAATAAGAGTGATCGTAAATTTAAAAGAAAAGAATACTTCTATTTCAGAAATTTCAAGAGTGATTGGGCGAAGTAGATGTGCCGTGCTCAATTATTTAAAAAGTAGAGGGAATTATGGAAAAAAATATCCTGGTGGACGTCCAAAAGCGACAACCAAGCGACAACGACGAACCATTCTGAGGGTAGCGTTGAATTCTAGCTTGACTGCACGGCAAATTGCAGCGGAAGCTGGCGTTCACGCTATTCGTAATGTGCAACGGATAATTAAACGAGCCAAGCATTTAAAAAGACGAAAATTGCATCAAAAACCGCTACTTACGATTAAACACAAAGTAGCCAGGGAAGATTTTCCGGAAAGACATCTCCAGTGGAAAAAAAAGTGGAGACAAGTTATCTTTTCAGGTGAAAAACGTTTTAATTTAGATGTACCGGATAGTCTTTCATATTATTTTCATGATTCACGGAAGGAAGAATTGCACTTGTCAAGGAGGCAAATGGGCGGAGGCGATATCATGGTATGGGTCGCAATAGGGTTCCACTGGAGAACCGATATAAAATTTGTTAACACCAGCATGAATGCAATTAAATATATAGAAATATCAGAACAATTAACGCGACATGCCAGCACTATTGCAGGTGAAAATTATATTTTCGACATGATAATGCCGCTGTGCATACAGCGAAACGTGTAAAAACATATTTTGAAGACAGTAATATACAAATTTTACCATGAGCTGCGAGGTCTCCAGATTTAAATATAATAGAAAACATTTGGGGCATTTTAGCACGTGCGGTATATGGAAATGGGAAACAGTTTTTGTCGGTGGAAGAGTTGAAAACAAGTATTGAAGAGCAATGGGCCAAATTAAGTCAACATCAAATAAAAAATTTATATAAATCGATACCACGGCGATTAATTGAAACTATAAAAAATAAAGGTGGCACAACACATTACTAATAAATAGAAAAAAAATTTTTTTCAATTACCTTTTCTTACCCAAAATATATATTGTCTTATAGTTTTGTCGTGGTGTGTAGTTGAAGAAATACAACTTCACTTCCCGCTAGTGAATCAATTGATATCTTCAGTAAAGAACATTTTTTTGAAGGCACCACTACGAATCGAAGGCTATCGAAAAAAGTCAGGAAACACGTCTTTACCATCAGAACCGGTTTTAACAAGATGGGGTACATGGCTTAAAGCAGCAACATTTTATGCTGAACGTTTCAATCAAATTAAAGAGGTACGACAAAATTTCTTTTCCTTAACTTTCGAAAATCGTGACATCACTATATGTTACTTTTTATTTTATTTCCAAAATAGGTAGTTGAATCTTTTAATGAAGATGGAATCGTTCCAATTGACACTTCTAAGCATGTATTCCAACAGACTCAAGTTGCTCAAAATGTAACATACATTAAAGTACATTTGCAAATATTACCATTCACAATAAAGAGATTAGAAACTGCCGGATTATACTTAACAGATTCCATACAAATATTCATGAACTGTATTAATCATTTACGGAATGTACCTGGTAGTTGCGGCGAACAAATTCAGAAAAAAATGAATACAGTTCTCAAAAAGAATCCGGGTATGTCCGAGATGTGTAAAATCGTAAACATACTAAGCGGTAATACTGAAGAACAACCAGGTTATGTGCCACAAAAATATTGGTGCAAATATAACTATGCATCCATCATACCTTGTGATGTAGAACGTTCGTTTTCGGCATACAAGTTAATACTGACTGACAAACGTGAACATTTAAACTCTACAAATATGGAGAAATTACTTGTCATTTATTGTAATGCCAATTATGGAGATTCATCAGAAATAAATTATTAATATAAAATAAAATTGTTAAATATCTATTAAACCAGTTCAGATAATCTTATATGCGCTACATCTATGTTGAACATTTTCGTGTG